TACATGAAAATCGCAGACGTCAGGTGATAGAACCGAAACTCAAACATAGTTTAGAAAACTAGTCCCTTCCGAATAGGGCTTTAGAGTACTATTTGCCTGGAGGGATAATGGCTGAAAAACTTCATCACAGGAATAAATTACGTTATAAAAATGTATTTACATCAAAATGTATTTAAATAGAAAACAAATCTAAATTATAATAATTCACAATGCGACAGTTTTTACTGTATTTTTTGATCAAATACATATAGCCTTTGCGAGCATAAGAGAATTTTCAAACATATTTAAAAAGTCTTTATTATTCCAAACTGTATGTATTTTTAAAAAGGGGGCAAAATATTCCATGCAGTGACGTTATTAGCAGATGACTTTATTAAGGTTTATTTTTGACCTTCTATATTTAGCTAGTGGCCTTTAAATAAGCTAAATGATGCTGCTTGGGCTGATTGCCATTACATGTACTTGATATTAGTGGCATCCAAACATGTAGAGCGTCATGACCAAAGAGACGCTCTACTTGAATTAATTGGGCCTTCCTGCCCTCAATATGATTCAGTGGAGGCTATTTTTAGTGGTTGCAAGGCAATCAGAATTACTCCAAGAGGTTGCGACCCACCTTGGGATTTGTTAGTTTTCACTGTGTTCCCAAATGACTGGCAGAGATCTGTGTGTCGAGGTGGAAAATGATCTATGCACTTCAAGTGCAATATCATTACGTCTCTGACACCCTTATAATTATCAGTCCATTTTTGGCTGAAACAAAATCCTGTTATGAATTTTCCATTAAAAAAAAAAAAAAAAACTTGGTTTGTGCTTTTTTTATTATTTTTTTTAATGTTTTTTATTTTAGTATGTTGAAATATATTTATTACACACTAATGGTCTCCAGTATCCGCTTTTGACATTTGTCAAATGAACAGGCGGAAATTATTTGGTCTTGTCTGTATTTTTTTACACTGACAGAATCTGATGATTTAAAAGGGAAGCGTTTAATTTTGTACCATGTGTTTGCATTGGTTTCATCTGCTCTTTTCTTTCAGGTTCAAAGAGATCTGAGCCGCCCGTCGAACAAGAGAATATCACACCTGTGACGGAAAATGACCTGCAGCATAACGACAAAAAGGGACCATGGGTTGATCCAACACACCAAGCCTTTTTATGCCCAAGGGTTATTTTATATGAAAATTGTAACATGAGACTTTCATCCTTTTATACTGATAATGGAACAAAGCTCAGCTGCTGCAGTGAAGGAGGAGGAGAGTTACACACACCCTCGTCTACGCGTGGCCTGAGTGGGACAAACACAAGAGGATCATCATTTTAGTACAGGATGTTTTTAGTGACTGAAGCTCAATGCAAATGTACCTTTTTTCTAGCATTAAAATATGCCATCAGTACTTTGTCCTTTAATCTGTGCAGTGTCTTGCGTGATCATTTGTGAGTTTCCTGTTTGTTATTGGCATGGCTAGCTGTGAATCTTACCTGCAGTAGTGAATACACAGCACCTGAATATGTATTTCAATAAATATTGAGGTCATATTCATGTGAATATACACTTAATCTCTCTCAACTTCATTAAAATACTGAGTAGCTCCAAGCGTCCCAAGAGAACCTCTTGGTTTTATTCTCTCAGGGTTCGTATGAATGGAAGCACGTTACAGGTAGCTGGTGTTCTAGCTTTAGGGTATAGATATTATCAGCTTCTGTCAAAATGAGAATGTGTGTGTGAAAGGCAAACAGTCATCTGCAGAATAATGCTCGGTGATAATAAATCATTTCTGGAGACTTTAGTGATGCTTGAACACACAGCTCCTTTCCATTAATTTAAAGCTATGTTATTAGTCATAATTGTTTTTTAGTAATATTCAGTTATGATTAAAATCGTTACTTTAAATTTTTTCATTATAAAAAAGGTCATGTTGTCATATTATAGGGGGCAAGTTGTTACAATACATCCAGATATGAAACACTGAAAAACAATTCATTAAACAGTAAAAATGTACAACGTATAAAACTATAACAATGTTTTGGACAACAGAAATTGTAATCAATTGTGTAATTAATGGATTAATTAAAGAATTGTAACCGTATACATTTTAAAATGTTCAGTTTGCCCTGACCTGACATTTATAAAAATTATCCTCTTTGATTAAAATCTACACTACCATTCAAAAGTGTGTGCTCAGTTGTTGTTTTGAAAGAAATGAAATTTAGTTTAGCTTATTTTAGTTTAGAAATGTTAGTTCATTCAACATGACAGTAAGGTCACATAATGTTACAAAAGATTTCTATTTCAAATAAATGCTGTTCTTTTAAACTTTCTTTTCATCAAAGAATCCTGAAAAATATGAAGCAGCACAAATGAATGTTACTGGAGCAGCAAATCAGCATATTAGAATGATTTCTGAAGGATCATGTGACACTGAAGACTGGAGTAATGATGCTGAAAATACAGCTTTGCCAGGAATGAATTATATTCTAAAATATATTAAAATAGAAAAGTTATTTTCATTTGTAATAATATTTCATAATATTCCTGTCTTTACTGTATTTTATCAATAATTGCAGGCTTAATGAGCAAGAGACTTCTTTCAAAAAATCTTACTGTCCCCAATTGGTAGTGTACCTTTATTATTATTTAATTCGAAGGCAGAATTCACAAAAAATATTTTATTATACAGAACCTGACATACAAAATGCTACCAGATCATTTTTACTAAGACTTTTACTAAAATACAACTCTTGCCTCAGTTTTACCTTTTTAAATTTCTTATGATTAGCGTACAAAAAAGTTGATGTAGTCTGAATTAATGAAAACGTGAAATGATCCCGTTCTCCCTAATAGTGTCCAGATCAAAGATTGATATTGTGCTGTCAAACATGCACATCATACAACCTGTTGTACTTTCAGTCACAGTATGAATATTAAATATTCCCAAGCTAGTATATACTGTAATATAGCAAATAATCCTCAATATATATAATGCATGTGTGTGTGTGTGTGTGTGTGTGTGTGTATACATACATGCATACATATAATTCTAAATAAAATTCTAATAATTGATGAAGCATAAGAAAAATTATTAACAGGTTAACAACATAAGCATTCTTTATTGAATTTGGGTAGATATTGCATGTGTCATCAAAAGGAACAGTGTTGTAATGGATACGTGTGTCGCCTCCGAGCAGTAGATGACATGGAGCACATAGTCAGCTCTCTGCTCTAACAGTTCCTTGGCAACGCTGGAGAGCAGGAGAGTGAGTGATAGCCTACTTAAAGAGCAGAGCTGTGACTCCTGCTGAAGCCACCGCATCCACCAGCATCTCTGAGTGAGTGGCGGCACCAGACTGAATGGCACATGCTGAGGTGAGGCAACAGTTTTCATTTATGTACTGTCAATTATCATTCAACAAATGCCTGTTTTAGTGTCATGAATCTACTTTATATCCTATGAAATCAGCAGTTGCATGTTTCTTGTGTGAGAGGAAAAATGTTTTTTTTTTTTTACATTTGTTTTAAAGTGTTCTTTGCTGGTCCAGAGAAGGAGGTAGCCATAGATTGTGTATCTACTGCCAAAGCATCATCAATATCAGAGGTCGTCATGGGGTCGAGTTCGTCATCTTATGCCCCTAAAACTGTTTATCTGGATGTGGATGGAAAAGTGCAAAGGGTGAGTCTTTAAGATTTCAAACTTAAAAGCTGTATGTTTAAGATCCCATTAAAATGAGATGCATTTGCTAATTTATGATTAGATATGTAAGGTATTCAACCAAACATTCAATGAACTTATTTGGCAGCACACATACATATGCATGTAATGGACTAATGGGTGTTTAGTAAATAAATGATGCTAGAGCTTCTCTGAATTAACTTCAGCTTTTTGGAATAATTTTTTTGACTGGTGTGGTAATAGCTTCAAGAGTAACCACAGGAGTAGTTCATCACATTATCTATGAATATGATTTACCAAAGTTTGACAAACAGAAATTGTCTGCACAAACTGTCTTACTTTTGAACACAATTTTTATTGTTTTATCTTTTAAAAATTGATTATTTGTTTTTTTCATTTCTGGTTGAAAGTATGCTTACTTTAAGATAAATGCCATTGGTTTGATATTTTTGTATCTAATACTTTAAGTCCAAAATTCCCAAATACTTTTTTCAAGGGTTCGAGGTCAGTAGGATTTGTGCTGTTTGATCAATAAGACGTCACTTACCACAGCTGCATTTATTTGATACAATAAAAATATCATGAAGTGTTGTTTATTTATTTATTTTTGCTATCTTGCCATTTTAATATACTTTAAACTGTCATTTATTCCTGTGATGAACTTACTCCAGTCTTCAGTGTCACATGAGCCTTCAGGAATCTGATTTGCTGCTCAAGAAACATTTCGTATTATTATGAAAATAATATTTTTCTGAGCCTGTGATACAGTTTTCAGGATTATTTGAAGAATAAAACGTTCAAAAGAACAGCGTTAATTTGAAATTGAAACCGTTTGTCTTTTAATTGTCTTTACTGTCACTTTTGATCAATTGAATGCATCCTTGATGAATAAAAGTAGGCCTATTATTTTCTTTAAAATAAATCTTAATGACTCCAAATGTTTGAAAAGTAGTGTAACTACTTGTGTAATAGAGACAACATTTTATTAATATTATTATACTTAAAGACTAGTTATTTAATGTGTTTTTAACACAGGCACCCTTTTTAGGATAACTACTTGTGTTAAAAATATGTTGAGGGTCATTGTGAGTGACAGGTGCCTTTGACACAAACAAGCACCTGTAACACCTGCCAAGGGCAAAGTCAGCCCCACTCACTAGAGCCACGGTATTATAGTGACGTATTCAGCACCTCTAGTTATTATGTAGTATTTATAATCTCTTATGTTTTTAGGTGATTTTCAGTCGTCACTGTAGCCCATGTGATATTAAGGAGCTTCTTTGCTCATCATCCAATATTGCCAGGTCAGTTTCATAAATCGTCTCATAAATGAAGTGTTTAGTCCAGATTATTGTCCCAAATGTGTCTTGAATTTGTTGTGTCTCTCCAGAAACACAGCTATACTTCTGATTGACTCAGAAGGAGCACTGGTATCTATTGACCCCAGCATGCCTGCAAACACTCCAAAGTAAGAATTCAACATAGTAAAAATAATGCAACGTCTTGTTATTATTACATTATTGTAATTGAATGAATAATTCAGAAGCAGTCATTGTTTTACATTCTTTCTTTCTTCGTTTCAAGCAACTTATATAAGGTTATGCCTCATTCCACAAACCAAGGAGGAGGTATGAAAAAAGATTTACTCATTAAATTGTATATAATTAATAGTGTTAAAGGTGACATATCATGAAAATCTGACATTTCCAGGTTTTAAGTGCTATAATCAGGTCCCCGGTGCATCTACCAACCAAGGAAACATGAAAAAGATTAACCCAGTAACTTTGTTTTGGTAAGCCTTTTTCTGCAAGCGTCTGAGAAAACGAGCGCGTCTGATTTCGCTCCCTTGGTGACGTGGCAAAGGGATCTCATTATAATATTACCGCCCCTTAATCTGTAAGTTTACACCCATGGCGCCTTCATTTGATTTGGCAATCGACAACGGTGTACCAGTTCTAATGCCATGGTGAAAGTTTGAGCGAAACATGCTAACTGTTCTGTCATTGGCTGCACAGACGAGCACAGAACACTGTTTAGAGTCCCAGCCTCAGAGGAGACAAGAGAGCAGTGGATTTATTGATTTATTTACTGTAAATTGCTGCTGCCACACAGATCTAAAATAAACAAGTGATTTATTTCCCAGCTGTTTACCTGCACAGACATAACCGAATCTTTTTTGTAACTCGTGTGTTTTTAACGTAAACTTGTGTGTGAATGAGAACTTAGTTTAGTACTCGCATGCTGTGACAGCCGCTTTCTGTCCGTGTGCTTCGGATGTGTGCTCTCAGAAAACCGTATATCAGAAGTTTAAACTCATATGATTTAAAACGCATGATTTCAGTGCGATAAACATGATAATCGGAACCAAAACAGATGTTTTTAGCAGGGCCGAGATGTAATGGTGCAGCTCTATTCTGGAAAAGGGGGCCGGGAGCAGCAGCTCATTTGCATTTAAAAAAACAGGCCTGAAAAACAGTGCGTTTCTGCTTCCACTCAAAATAGGCATTTTCAAAATGTTATAATAAATGATCTGTGGAATATTTTGAGCTGAAACTTCACAGACACATTCTGGGGACACCAGAGACTTATATTACATATTGTAAAAAGGGGCATAATATGTCTCCTTTAAGTAAAACTAGATTAGAAATAAGGCAAATGACAGTAACATAAACAACTTTGTATTCCTCTCAAAAGAGAAGGAAGACATGTTCCAGAACGTCCTGTCACAAGTGGCAGAGCAGTTCAACAGGTGAGCCGTGTCATGTCAAAATGAGTCTGTATTTATTGTAAAGTAAATGTTATGATTCAGATCAGTGTGTTACAGAATGTGTGCATGGTAATGAATGTAATATTTGCTTCAGGGCTTTTAGGATCAATGAGCTGAAGACTGAAGTGACCAACCGACTGGCCATGCTGGAGAAGAGAGTGGAGCGTGAGTGATGCTCTGAGCAGAATGCATGTGAGAACTCACACCTGATGTTGTGAGCTAAAAGTCTTTGTCTCATTACAGTGGAGGGACTTAAAGTGGTGGAAATTGAGAAGTGTAAAAATGATCTGAAGAAATTAAGGGATGAAATGACCTCTAGAGGAGGAGTGAGGTAAGAACAGCTGTTTTATTTTATTTTATATTTTGTTTTATTTCATTAGGAGTCTCTGCACCTTTGCTTTTTAATTGGTTGTTTATCTCTTGCAAACAGAATGAACTGCAATTGCAAATATAACTTTACTGATGATGGGAAGAAACTGTCTCCCAGGCGAGATGTCCCAAGCTACCCAAAGGTAAAATGAAAAAAATAAATACATTTTTGGGGGGTTACATACTGCAACCAAATAAAATCATCGCAGTGCTGTAATCATATGTAATGCTGTGTGTTGTCACTCTGTTTTGTGTTTTTGCAGTACACACTTTCTCAGGAAACCATAGAGGCTCTGAAAAAGCCCACCTTTGATGTATGGCATTGGGAACACAATGAGGTTTGTCATCTTTTTTGTGTCAAGATATCTTGAGACACAAGTTCCCACTAACAGGAGTTTTATTTTTGCAGTTTTACTGCTCTTTCATGGCTTAAGAGACTTAATGGGGTTCTTAGTTGTGTTTCACTGAAGTATCAGTTTTTCTTTAAAAAAAAAAAATCAACCAAAATTGGAAAGATAATTAAACAAACACTTAATCACACTTAAGGGCACTTAATTGCATGTTGATTGCAATCCATCAATCAATCATTCAATCAATCAATAAATAAATGTATTATATTTAAAATTGATATCAAATGCTTTTTGACCCCCTTAAGTAGGACTTAAGTACAGCTTTATATGTGATTTGATCATTTTTTCTATTGTCTTTGAAATATGGTTAAAGTGTAGTGCCAACAAGCATTTATAGTAAACTAAAATATACTTTAATGTAATTTCTATTGAAATTTGTTATATATTTGTAATTACACATTTGTAATGATGAGGTCGCAATTCAGTACATTAAAACTATATTTAGTTTAAATGTAATATCAAATAACACACTACAACTAAAATTATGATCAAGTACTTTACATGTACACATAAAATAAGTGTACTTCTTTCAAGCACAAAAAAGGATTATTAAAACATTAATATTATCTGCAAGTACATTTTTAAAATATATATTTTTAAGATTTGAAGTAGGCCTACTCTACAAGTGCACATTCAGTACAATAAAGCGCACTTCGCCCAGGTGTTTTCTAGAAATTGTGATATGAATTAGATCTCATGTGTAATTTCTCTTTGTAATAAAAATGAAGGGCCCTATCATACACCCGGCGCAATGTGGCGCAATGCGGCGCCAGGCACGACGCAAGTGTTTTTTGCTAGTTTCAGCCCGACGCAGTTATCATTCACATCCTGTGCCACGTTGTTTAAATGGCAAATGCATTTGCATCCATTTGTGCGCCCATGGGTGTGCTGGTCTGAAAACGAGGTGTGTATAGGCACATTGTCGGCGCGTTGCTATTTTGAGGCAACTGAAATAGACTGCGCCTTTGACCAACTGAAACCTGGGGCCCTATTTTAACGATCTAAGCGCATGGTCTAATGCGCTTAGGGCGTGTCCGAATCCACTTTTG